AACTTTTCTCACAGAGAATCCATGAATGCCAAATGTTCCTCTGACTCCCTCTGATTCTGCCTTACGACACTATTGGTTGTTGCTTTGCTGTGTCAACTTTCTTCCAGGAAGGAGGGGACATCGGTGCTGACGTTGTTGAGATGTTCTCCGGCCTCTTGGATGTTTTTCTCCAGGAAATTCTGACAGGACAAGCTGTGAGCTGCAAAGGCGCCGTGGAGCATCCACAACTGATTACGGAGGACTTTGACCTGCATAGGAAAGAAAAAATAACACTTTTTTATTAACTGTGTTAGATGACACTACAATAATTTTACTCAATTCATATGTGGTTATTTATGTTATTGTTATTCCAACTTAGAAACACTGCAGATTAGAAAGTTAGCTAAAACCCTAAACTATAACAGTGACACTGGATTGGGAATTTATTGTACCAGGCATAAAAACGGTGCACATCGCTTTGTTTTAGCATCGTATTGTCATTTAAATAAGAGTATTTTACTGGGAAAAACTGATCAACTTTTTTTTATTATATAAACATTATTATTATTATCATCATCTCCTAATAAAAAGTAGTCATATCAACAAAATATGGCTTAATGTGACAGAATATTTTATAGTCGAATAATTTGGGGAAAAAATGCATGGAAACGATGAGAAACCTTAAAAGATGCTAAAAACTATTTCACTTGTCACATGGTTCACGCATACGTCGTCACCTCCATCTTTATTCCCTAACTTCAGATGCACAAAGTAAAGAAAGATCAATCCAATACTTGTCACCTTGTTCCCCTCCAGCAACTTGACTTTGACTGACAGGTCGTCTCGGATCTTCTCGTACTTCTCCCTCTGAGTCTGGAAGTCTTTCTGGGCCTGCTCCAGTTTGGGCACGGTGACAGCATCACGGGGGCCCATGTTCAGCTCCTCCAGATCGACCCGGAACGCATCATACTCGATCCTGGAAGACAGGAAATTGACACGGATGTGTACACTGAAGCTCCCTGTTGTATTGTAGTGGTTAGGTATCTCTCATTTGATCTCAATTTCCTGCTGCGTGGGTGCGGAGATTAACCTCCCTGCTTCTTTCTGGTTGGATGTTAGTTTGATTGCAGAGTCACTGTCACAGCACATGAATTTATTGAGAAAGGGAAAAAAGGAAGTGTGCTTTTTAACCCACCTGACAGTCTCATACTGCTTAGCATTGATCATTGTGTCTTCAATGGTTTTGTTGACCAGTGTGTTCATGTCAGATGTGAAGGCGTTGATGGCTTCCGTCAGCGTTTCGCCGCTCTTGGAGAGAAACCTCTGAGCGTCTGCATTTATGCCAAACTCCAGCTGGTATTTATATTACAAAGAAAATGCAAGTAAGCATGACGCATAGAGACATAATAGCCACATCGATGGGAACTATAGCTGGTTAAATAAACCTGAATCATCTGTTAGGTTAGTTTACAACCAGAAAAATGGCAAATCATTTGAACCCGAGATCTTTAATGGCGATATTGTCCTCTGGATTCCAATTTATGATTGGACAAGATATCAAATTTTTTTTTACATGGACTCTGTGTAGCTTTTTCCATATATTAAAGCCTTTTTATCGCCAATTTCTTAAAATGCTGTAAGCTTGTCTGACTCTCCCTCTAACAGCTTGAGAGATTTCAGTGTGAAGGACTCTGAAAATCTAATTTTTGTGACGTTTGTGCTTCTTCCAAGTGCCCACAGTGAATAACACTAGCTCATGCTAGTTATGTAGCCAGTGAATATTTGGAAGTCACAGCTACCACCTTCTCATTACTTTGGTTTCAAGATACCAAGCTATTTAATGACGGAAGCTCTCAGATCTGGGCTTCACAGGATTTCACTATTTAATTATTATTATCATTAATATTATTTAATTAGTGAGGTCTTTCATACTGTCTATGGTGGGGAACCAAACAATCTGTCTGCACTAGCAGGTAAACTCTGACGTCTTTACTTGTGATTTCGACTTTTACTCCTTTATTGGAACTAATGTGGAAGTTATACCTGAGTGTTGACATCTATCATTTGGGAAAATATTTCAGCAAGTCACAATCAATATGATGACCAAAAACAGTAAACAATCAGGAGATTGTGTTTTTACAGCATATCTTGGGGATTTTTTATATATAATTTTTGGACAAAGAAACTTAGAGTTCAGCATGTCATCAGCACTGGATCTAGTAATTCTAAATACATCAAAGGTTACTGTATGTAATCCTGTTAGCATTAGCAGGTAGACTTAAAGTAGCAGCTTGTATCCCCAATACTTACGTGCAGAGTTGGGGTTTTGACGCTGAGTTCTGTGAAGGCATCGCCGAGGTTCTTCTGGGTAACTGTGAGCTGAGAGAGCTGACTGGCAAGTGTCTGAGCCAGACTGGTCACATTTTCATAGCGCTGTCGGTCGTCTTTGAGCAGCTCGAGGCGGGGCTCCAGGTCCAGATCCACGGTACGAGACCCACGGCCAAGCTTCTCCGAAAGAGCCTGCTTGGTATACTGTGGGGAGACCAGATCGATAGTAATTGATTATATCTGGCACCAAAGTACAGTAATAGGAAGTCTAGTCAAAATCCTCCAACCTTATATTTGGTGATGCTCCAGTTGCGAACTCTTCTGAACTTCTCGCTGGCAGGGTTGCTGTTGTTACCTTGAATCACCACACCTTTGGGTATCTCAGGTGTGAGTGAGAAACCTGGAGTTGGGGTCAAAATTTTATATAATCATTATAAAGTCATATTCAATAGCAATGAAAATACAATGGAGTTCATCTGATATTTTTAATGTTAATTATATTTAATGAACCTACCATTTACACAACACATGGCAAAGAAAAAGAAGTAATCATAATATTTCAATTATCTCTTTCAACTATTAAAATTTATGGATCAGACTGGATCTACAAAAGCTGTTAAAGTTATTAAAATGTTAACTTTTTGGAAAGACACATAAATAACATTGCACTTCTCTATGAAAACACTTCAAATGTGCATACAGTTACACTTCAGTATAGTGATGCTTGTATCAGCAGTAATAACAGTGCATTTGATTGGATACAACAGGAGTCTAATGACTTTGCTGCAGTTTTCACACTCTGGAGCGCCCTCTAGTGGACAAAGCTGAGCATCAAAATATAATACCTCAAGTAAAAATATTCTGTATGTGGAATCATATACATTACAATACTGGATGATTATTATTATTGACTAGGCAAC